AAAAGATGATCTACAGGAAAATTCAATTCTCCATATGGATATTTTTGGCATTTCAAATCATTTTTAAGTCTTGGCAAGCACAGAACTAATAATTGGGGATACATGTTTTGTTGCCATGTAGAAAAAAACTCACAATATATTCTTGGGTTTAGTTATACCCAAGTATAACTAAATATAAGCCTGTAAGTTTACTTATAGGCTGTTGGCATTATTGTTTGATACATTTATCCTTTTTTTTCCAACTGCATTTCTTAATTTGAAAGAATGATACTTTATCCCTATTTTTAGTTTATTTTCTAATATCTCAAATATAATTGAATTTTAAAGTTAAAAATTGTCATATTTCTAGAAAGTTAGAATTTCCTAAATCTGAAATATAGTTTCATCCAGAAAAAGAGAAAGGTACCAGGAAAGACCAGATCACTCCAGTTCCACATCTCAGGACCTCAGGAACTCTAACACTACTGCTTAGATTCTGTGGTAAAGAAAATGTTTGCTGCCGTGCACACTTGTTCACTTCCCAAGCGTACCTACAACAGGTGAAAAAGATCCTGCACAGGGTAGACTCCTGGGAAAACAGAACATACTGCTTGGCGTGCAGCCAACCCTTAATGAGGGGCCACTTTGAGCCAAGGTGCTCTACGTGTTTCACAAGGCAGAGCTGCATGTGTTGATCAGGCCCTTCACAAGTTGCCAAGGCAACTATTTCTTCTGTGAAAGAGGCTAATTTCAGGGTAAATGAGAAATGATACTAGGTAGAGAAACTATTTTTTAAACAATACATGATTTAGTTTTTGACAAATGATTCTGGGGCATAAGTTGAAAATAAGTTCCTTTGTCTAGTGGCTTTCCCTCTTTATCAAAATTCAGTCAGTATATGTAAAAGTCTACTTCTGTTCTATTTGTCTGTTCTCCTATATGCCGTGCTACACCAACTTGATTATTTTAGCATTACAGCAGGAATTTCCAACAATGCTACTGTTGATGTTTGGATGAGATAATTCTTTCTTGGGGAGTGGGGTGGGATGCCTTGTCAGAATTTTAGGATGAACTGCAGAATGCTTAGCAGTGTCCCTATTTCCTGCTCACTAGATGCCATTAAACATCCCAGCCAAAACAATTAAAACTGTCTCCAGAATTGCCCAAAGGCCCTCTGACGGGGAAGGGCAAAACTTTCCCCAGCTGAGAGCTTTTTTAATAGTGAAATAAGGTAGTGTGTGTCCTTGAAATTTGTTCTAATTCAAGATTGTTTTGCCTATTCTGGGTATTTTTGCTTTTCTGTTTAAATAACCTGCCAAGTTTTGAGGTGGGATTTGAGTGACTCTGTAGATCTATTTAGAGAAAATTGGTATCCTAACAACACTGAGTCTTTCCATGGAATCCACAAACATACCAATTTCTCTTGTTTTCTTTTTTTTTTTCCTCCATCATAAGGGTATGTTTATTAGTTCCATGTCAGTCATCTTTTTTGTTTATTTGTTTTGTCTTTTCATGGCAGTGTCTCACTATACACAAGCAGGTCTCTAATTCATGGTCTTCTTGACCGCCTGAGCCTCCACAATTCTAGGATTACAGGTGTGCACCATAATACAGCTTTGTCAGCCATACTATAGGACAGGCCATCAAAAAATCTGCCCAGGAAACAAATCTATACAGATCATTAAAACATTAGTAATAGAAATCAGTAACGTACCAGCTGATTGAAATTCTTCCTTACCTAACTAAATAAATGTAAACTGTTCTCACTACCTATGAAGTAGACAGTGCTATAGAAGAATTTACAGTAGTAAAAATCTCTACAGCAGACATCTGTGTTTATAGAAATGTGGTAAGTGTAGGTTGTCTCATGCAGATATACTTGGCCATTAGATGTAAAGGTGACAGTCGACTAAGTTGGAAGTTTCTGTCTACTGGTGCTCTGAAGCTAAATCATGCATGGCATAGTACTATTTACTGAGAATGCTTTATTTAATATGAAAACACTAATTTCCAATATGCACCTACATTTTCTTGGTTAGAAAAGTGAATAAAATAAGTGGATACAATAAATCCTTTTTAAATAATATAAAGAAATAAAGTTTATTAATAAAAGTTTCTCCCCATCCCCACTAAATAAAAGATAACTAGTTTAAAATTATTATTCTGATCATTTGCTGCTGTGCAACAAAACCCCTAAAATTTAAAATTTAATGACTTAAAATAATTTATTGCAATTATCTGTGTTAACAGGTTCAGCTGGTCGATTCACTTGTTAGTCACATGCAGAGTCACTCATATTTCATCTGTGGATCTACTGTGATTTTGTCTATGGTTGTCTGAAGGTTCTGCTGAGCTAGACACTCAATATGACTTCTTTAGTCACATGGCTTGTGCTTGAGCTTGGATTGCTAGAATAGATGGAAGCTAGCCAGGCATGTCTCTTCGTGCCATCTCTCCCTTGTACCTAGCCTTGGCTTCTTAGCATGGTTATCATAAAGTCATCAAAAGTCTTACACAGAGACTGGCTTTTCCCAGACACCAAGTTGGAAGCTTCAAAACATCATATGTAGCCTGGGAGGTCACATAGCATCACTTCCATATGACTCTCTTGTTTGTAAGAGAATGATAGGACCTGCTTAATAAAGGAGAGAGAACACATAATCATAGTAGGGATTAGGTAGAATCTGTAAATAGCTTAGAATGGTATTGACAGCAAAATTATGTCTTCCAATACATGAATGGAACGAGATTTCTCTTGCTCCTTTGTTCTCCTGCCCTAACTGGGGGCGATGGGAGATGCAGAAAGGACAAATGATAGACAAACATGCTGTGCTGGGCGTTCGGATGGAGACACACAACAGCCTCATTGCTTCTTTTATTTTTCTTCTCTCTGCTCTACTTCTTTTCTCTAAGGCCTTACTCCTTTTACTTACTTTCTTTAAAACCTTGCTTCTAAAGTCTTCTTTTCTATAAAGTCTCTTTCCTTAGACTCGCACTGTCCCATGTTTTCTTTAATCTTTCTTAAAGTCTTGGCCCTCAGACTTGCACTGCTTCATGCTCCCTTTAATCTCTCTTAAAGTCTTAGTCCTTAGACTTGCACTGTCCCATGTTCTCTTTAGCTTTTCTTTAGCGTAGCTTTTCTAAAACCTATGTATAAAGTTCTCAGTGCAGAAAGCTGCTCTGGTGGAGACACACCAGACAGTGTCAGCATCAGTGCCAGCCAATCAAAAGCCCCCATCAAAAAAGCCTCACGTCCTCCTTCAGTGAGTCTTTTATATCCAGTGGTAAAACAAGGAGGTGGAGCAACAGTTCTTGGGGAGGGGCATGACACTGTAACAAGAGAAACCTGCTCTCTACTTCTTTCTCTGAACATAAACAACTTAGGAAAGCAGCTGTGCTGCATCCTGCCTCACTCTCTTCTGCGACTGGGGCCGTGCAAACTCAGCCTGTCCCTGAGCACAGCTGTGCTTATGTCAGGTTCTCATAGGCTTCTCGTAATCCGGTCCCCACACATGAATGTGAGATAGCCTTCTATTTATTCGTATCTTTTTAAGTTTTTTATTATCTTTGATGTACCTTAGTTGAGTTTATTCTTAAGGAATTTTTATGCCACTGTAAATGGAAATGTTTTTTTAATTTCCTTTCTGGGTTGTTCACTATTAGTGTATAAAAATGTAATTGATAAAGGCTGGAGATGTGGCTCAAGTGGTTGGCACTGACTTACCATGCGCAAGGCCCTGAGTTCAAACTCCAGCACAGAAAAAAAAATGACCTTTGCTGTGCATTAGCACTGGCTTTGTGTGGATTTTCTATGCATAAGATCATCTCATCTGTAAACAGGGTTAATTTTTGCTTTTTCCTTTACAATTTGCTTGTCTCTTATTTCTTTTTCTTGCCTAATTGTGATAGCTAAGAACTTCCAGTGCTGTGTTGAGTTAAATAGTGAAAGAAGCTTCTTGTCTTGACCTGGGGGGATTCTTGAAGGTAGTTGTTTTGGGAGGTGAAAATCATCTTCCCTACTTGTGACACTACACCACTTCTCTTACCTACTGCATGGATTAGACCACTTGAAAAACTAAAGCCTATCACTCAGAAGTACAGTTCCCTAAATCAAGTTACTTAGACTTTGAATAATGATCCACACCTGGAAAGTCTTTAGAACAATGGATTATAATAACTTGTGGCACTAAAAACCATAAAAGAGGTTTTGCCAGCCATCCCCATCTCTATTCATTCTGAGAGGTCCCTTTGAAGGCTTCTGTTGTCCTGAGCTTTAGGCTTACCTTTTTATTTTTCTTACTTTCTAGAAATTAATTATTGAATGAAAAATACACACACATATTTTCCAATGGCAAAATCAATTCTTTGAGACAGTACAGATTAAACTAGAGGATGTAAACTCAAGTACCTAGGAGCAAATCAGAGTGAATGAACTAGGAAAGTTAATAAAATTAGGGAGTAGATGGCAGGTGTTTGTAGCCATATTTGCTAAAGAGTTCAAGGTTGCAAAATCTTCCAAATTATAAAAAGCTGGAAATTAATATCTTATATAAATTGTCTGTATTTTAACACAGTTAAGACTTAACAGGCAATTTTAAACCTTTGTTCTAAAAGAAAAAGAGAACTATACAGTTTTTTGTGACTTTCCCAAAATTTGCAAGGCTTCTTTTCACCAATTATTGGTTCTTTGCATTACCAGAAATTGCATAGCCCTTGGGAAAGGCTTTGTTCCACAGCAGGACTTGGAAGGTATAAACAAGTATGCAGGCCTGTTAGAAATTAAAACAGGCCTTATTACAGGATCTTCTCTTAGTTTCAAAAGATCTAAACAGGGTTCTGAAATTACCATTTACAAAATATTTAAATAAAGACCCATTTTTAAAATCTGAAATCTGTTGCCTCTAAGTAAATTTTTGAAATATAAAAGTACTCCTATATAATAAATGGAATTACTTTGAAACTATTTCCAGGGTTGAGTTTTTTTAACTTATTTTCTATTTCTGTTAATATGCTTTAAATAGAGTTTTTGAAGATAAACGGAAAGAACAAGAAGAAAGAGAACACCAAATTAGAGAACAAATTCTTCAACAAAGAAAACAGAAGTTTGAAGAAGTTACTGAAAAATTCCAGCGCGCCCATATTCCTCTTTCACGGAGGAGAGCAGGTACCTTAGTTTCTAGAACAATTATGAGAACAGAAGTTAAAGTGACAATCACATTTGACTTGAGTAAATAGTAAAATGATGCATGAAGAAACACAATGGAAACTAAAGTTAAAATGACACTCTACTTTTTGAGTAAATAGGTCTTTGGCCAAAAGGAAAATAGTAATTTGATTTAAGTTTAATCTGAAGAATATTTTGTTGGCTCTATTAGTAAATTCTCTATCAACTCACAAGTTTGACTCAACTTCAAACTGGCTTACAATGCTTTGTCTTTTCAAAATTGATTTAGTAACTCAACAAAAAGAAAATTTAGCATTTGAGTTCAGGAAATTAGTGTCACAATTATTCTGACATTTTATTCAATTTGGTTCAAATTCTTATGAGAGATCAGCAAAACAAGAAGAAAATCTACAAAGTAATATAATTTAACAATCTAAAACTCATAATGAGTTAAGAACTTACATGTGATTAAGGTTGGTTCTCTGGTGTCACGTTTACACTTTTATTCCTTAAACGGTAAGACAGAGGGAACAATATGACTATGCCAAATCTTCGTAAAGAAAAAGGATAGGCACTCTTTATGTGCTCTGCTATGTGCTATACTATGTTGTACTAAGCCTGAGCTAAGCTGAGATACAGAGAACTCTAATGGTACTCTAGAATCATTAAACTCACAACTTATTTTGGAGAGCAGAGCAATATAAATAACTAATGTCAATATTACACTGATTGCTGAGGTAAAAGAATGTGTAAAGTACTCTGCAAACACTAAACTGTGTAGGGACATCAGGTACCTCATTCCTGGAAAAATGACTTACATTGAATCTTGAGCAGTATTTTGCAGCAAAGAGAAAATGAAAGGATACCCCAGACAGAAAAAATTGCTTACACAGATAAATTGTGTATGTCAATGTATCAGAAACTTATCTGCGGGGAGAAAAGAGAAGAAAATTGATTTGCAACAAGGAAAAATAAGTTGGAGTCAATTCCTGCAGAGTTTTGTATGTCCTGATAGAAAGTTTGTCTTTATGTAAAATCCAATTTTTAAGCTGGAAAGCGAGCTACCGCTGTGCCAGTAAAGGAGCCTACTACAAATAAGGACAGCTAGTTGCTGTGCCCAAAATAACAGATGCTAAAACATGATAGGAGTTTATTTTCCTTTCTATTATATGAAATCCTGAAGTGAGTAGTCAAGAATTGGTTTGGTGGTTGTTCAGTTTCAGTGGGGAACCAGCATCCCGTTGTCCCTCAGCTCAGTCACATTCAGAATACGCTTTCTATCTTAAAGCTCTTGAGCACATGGTAGCTGCTAAAGTTCCAACCATCATATCAGTTTTCTACACAAGAAGAAAGAACAGGAAAAGATAAAATGATCTACTTTTCCTACAATCCCCCATCTATCTGGTTTTTTTTATCTGCTTAGCAACTCCATTTGCAAGGGAAGCTGAAACACATAATTTTTTTAAATGTTGAGTATATTACCACACTTAACAATACAGGGCCTGTTACTAAGAAAAGGAAATGGATAGTAGGGGCTTCTGCTATACTTTGATTTGTTTGTTAGAAAGAAAATTACAGTGACAATATGGAATATGGATGGGAGTAGAAATGTACTAACGTTGATAGACTAAGTAGGAGACTTTCAGTAATTGTGGCAAGAGGTGTTGAGTTCTTAAAGTAAGGCAGTGTACTGGACTTAGAAAAGAGAGATGATATACTCTGAAGTTCTGATCAACAGGACCATCAAGTGTGTGAAAGAGCCAGAAAGAAGAGTACCTGTCACATTTTAAGCACTCAATAAACACTTTTTAATGAATTATTTGGTGGATGATGAGAATACTCACCAAGGTTGCATAAAGGAGGAGACTCGGGTTAGAGGTACGAAAGGGCAGTTGTTAAGTCTTACATGTATTGATTTTGATTTTTTCCGTCTAAATGGAAAAAAAACAAGCCAGCAACTAGAACTATGGATCTGAACCCAAGAGAAAGCTATGGAATACGAATGTATAGTTAAGACTCACTAATGAATACATGTGTAATTGATAAAGGAAGTAAAGAGAAAAATAAGCTAAATTAATAACAGAGTGTATGTTTTGGTTAGTCAGACTGCATCTCCCTGACAAAATAACTGATATAACAGCTATGGTGGACAGAGATTGACGGTGCTCGAGATTTCATTCCATAGTCCTGGCTCCTTTGATTCTGGGCCAATGGTGAGACAGGACATCATGGGACGGGAGTATGTGAGGAAAGACGCTATTCACCTTGTGGTGGGCGGGAAACAGAGAAAGAGAGTGCCTGAGCTAGCTGGCTTTCTCCATTTTCCCCTTTTAATGTCTGGGTCCCCAGCCTATGGGAAGGTGCTGCCACATCAGGGCCTGTCTTCCCCCTTCATCAATCCTCTCTGGAAATGCCCTCTCAAACACACCCAGAGGTGTGCTGTACGAATGGTCTCCTGTCAAATGGACAATCAAGACTACCCATCATGTATAGACCACAGATTAAGGATGGGTCCTAAAGGAAAACTTTAAATCACGGTATCTGCTACAGGTAGAGCAAGAAAAACGCAAAAGGGATGTCTAGAAGTGATTATCAAAACGTCAGACAGGGAAAGGAAACAAAAGAAAACAATGATCAGAAGGCAAAAGAGAAGAGGGCTGTAGGAAAGAGAGTATGATCGTTTATATTAAGTGTCTCAGAGAAGTAGCAACCACTCATGAACAGCTTGTCCCAGAGAGCGTGCAGACTTCCCAAGGGAACCCAAGGTCCAAAGGGTTAGAGTAAATAAACAAATAGCATTTAGACTCAAGCAATGGAATCTTATACAACCTTTAAAAACAGGAAAACCCTCTGTGGACCCATATGGGAAGAGCCGCGTGGAGGTAGAGTTACATGAAGCTAAGAAGCTTTAAATTTAGGACCTGTCAGTACCTTGGCCTTTGCATCTAATTTCACTTTGGTAATTTTGCGTTACTTGTTCTTAATGAGTGCCTGAACATTATATAAGCCTTGTACCCTTGTAAAACCTGGATCTGCCCCAATATCCAGGATGTATTGTTAAATATATAAAAACAAACTCCAGAACAAAATGTCTAATGTTTTTCCTTCTGTGTAAGAAAAGCAAAAATTTAAGGGTCTTTTTTTTTTTTTTGGCAGTACTGGAGTTTGAACTCAAGGCCTCACACTTGCTAGGCTTACTAGGCAGGTGCTCTACCACTTGAGCCTCTCTGCCAGCCCTAAGAGAAACAGATTTTTAAATGTGTATTTGTATTTGTATGTATCATTTTATAGAAACAGTGGAGAAATGCGCAAATTGACTAGTGAGAACAAGACCTCCAGATGTGTATTTTTAATATAGGTGTTTAAAATACAAGTTTATGTTCTAATATAAATACACAGATCTTTTTTATTTCTGAGCCATATGGATATATTAACTATACAGTATATTAAATTAATATTTTTAGGCCAGGAATAGTGGTACATGCCTGTAATCGCAGTGACTCAGGAAGTGGAGGTCAGGAGAATCAAGGTTCAAGGCCAACACAGGCAAAAAGTTAACAATACCCCATCTCAACAAACAAGCCAGGCATGGTGGCATGCACCTGTGGTTCTAGCTACTGGCTGACCCCAGGCAAAAACACTAGACCCTGTCTAAAGCAAAAAGGGCTAGAGATGTGGCTCAAGTGGCAGAGTGCCCACCTAGCAAGTTCTGGGCCGAGTTCAAGCCCCAGTACTGCCCAAAATAATTTAATATTTTTAACTATTGAGGATGGTTGATGAGTTTATTATGCTGTTTTACCTACTTGTAATATTTATGGTTGAAATTTTTTATAATTTAAGTTAAAAATAACCAACAGGAAGATATTTTAGTAAAATTCCACCCTATTAATTGCAAGAACAAATCTTTGAAAGGCAACCATTTATTTGTCTATTGCTTTCATTTATTCACAAATTAATAGCATTAAAACAAGGAATCACCAGCTCTTCTTGCTACAAAGAAGAGCAAGTGGTTGACGGTTTTAATGAGGTCAGAAAATTGTTGGAATAAAAATAATGGAGAAAAGAATTGGAAGGCTTGGAGCTAGAAGATTAAATGAAATGATAAAGCCTTGGTACACAAGAGTATTAAAAAACAAAGAATCCAGTTACGCTTAGTGAATAGCAGTAGTGACTTGGTGGTCATTAGATAAGAGCACAAGAAACAGTAGTGGGCTTTGAAGTCCTGTTTAATAGATAGCAATAAGTTTAATCAAGGCAAGTCTCAGACTGCAGTCTAATACAATTACACATTGTTAGCAAAGCAGACACAAAACAATTCATACAGCTTCTTCCATAAAGTCCCAGGTCTCTGTCCTTTTAGGTCCTGTGACTACACCTTGCCTGAAAGTACCACTGAGGCACACACAATCCTATCCCAAGAACAGAGTTCTGTGCCTGCTGCCATTGGACCATCAGAAATTCTCTGTATCAATGGCTGGACACAGACTAGTTAGGAATCAAACCTCAGATGCCATCCCCTAGGGTAAAGACATAGATAGCCCTGGATTCTGTTCTCTGCTCACGCAAAGCTAAGGAGGGATTTTAAAAGCTTTAGGGAAGTCAACCTGTCTTGAATACCTTTAATTTCAACAAAGAAAGCACACTTTTACCATCAGGCCAATCAATACGCCTGATATAGGATCTCACCCATAAAGACTATAATGGACATTGCGTATGCTAATTAGAATAACAGTCAATATTTGCTATTGTGATGGAATTTTACTCAGCCACAAAGAAGAATGAAATTTTGTCATTCGCAGGTAAATGGGTGGAACTGGAGAACATCATCTTAAGCAAAGTTAACCAGGGTCAGAAGGCCAAAAACCACATGTTCTCCCTCATATGTGGATTATAAACCTAAAACAAATGCAGCAATATTATGGGACACGGGTCACACTTAGAGGAGGCTGTGCATGGGAGAGATAGGGCAAGAGAAAGAAACCAAAAACTTGAATGTGGTTGAGGTGCTCACTGTATAGGAATGAATATAGAAAACTTAACTGGCTGAGGCCACTGTGGGGAGGGGACTAGGAAGGAGTGAAGAGGACTGGTGATATAAACCAGTTGGGGTTGTAGTATACATATATGCATGGAGACAACACTCCCTATGTAGCTATCTTTATCTCAAACTAGCAAAAAATGCCAAGTTTCTCTTATTATCTTTTATGGTTTTTCTTCTTCAAAATCAGAGAACAGGAGGGCAGAACAGATTCTGGTGGAGGGGCTGGGGGGGGTTGGCACCTGTGGGAGGAGGGAGGTGGCAGGGAAAGAAGTAGGAGGATGAATATGGTGCAAATAATGTATACACATGTATGTCACTGCAAAAAATGGTACCTGTTGAAACTGTTCCAGGAATCGGTGGGGTAAGGGGAGAGGAGGGAGTGAAGGAGCGTAGTGGAGGGGTGAACTCAAGTATGATATATTTGATACATTGTAAATTCCACAATGTACCCCACCCAGCACAACAATAATAAATTTTAAAAAGGTGTAGAGTTAATTGTAAAAAGTATTTGCTATGGTGTGAATATTTGTGTCTTTCCAAAAAAAAATCATGTTGAGATTCTGACCCCTGAGGTGGGACTTCAGGTCTATATTTAGATCATGAATCAATCCTGATTAGGATTAGTGCCCTGGTAAAAGAGACTGCAGAGAGCTGGTCAGCCCCTTCCACAATGTTAGGACAGCTAGAAGGCATCCTCTTTGTGGAAATGAGCCCTCACCAGACACCACTGGCTCACAGCTTTCTTAAAAGACAGCTATGGTTCCAAGATTCTTGATCTTGGACTTCTCAGCCTCCAGAGTGTGAGAAATTTTTGTTTAATAAGTTACTCAGTCTAAAGTATTTGTTGTAACAGCCTGGATGAACTAAGATAATACTTAAAGCTTTATATTAGCTGCTTCAAAAGTATTGATCCTGAGCTGACAGTGTGGAGAGCACTTATCTAGACGTATGAGATCCTGGTTTCTGTCCCCAGCACCAGCCCAAAAATGGTGGGGGTGGGGGGGAACATTGGTTCTTTATGATTAGATTAGATTTTCAGCAGACCATCTCATAGCTGTGCATTCATCACTAGAATATTATGTCTTCACCAATTTATTAGAGAAACAAATACGTCTACAGTTCAAGTTTGCATTCACCCTCAAGTATCTATAGACTAGTTTTGCTTAATCACTTTAAGGTAAAATGCAGACATTGGAATAGTAGAAAAGTATGTTGACGTACGGGTGGGTGTTTTAAAGGGGAGAGAAAAATGGTTTGGAGGTGTCAGTGGAGAGTTAGAGCTAGAAAGCTGCCTACATTCCCTCCAGGACCCAGGTCATTTATACACGTGAGGGAAGGTCACAATAGCTCCACATCAGAGGCCTGAAGCAGAAGCAGTGTTCTTCAAATATAGCTATGGTTCAATTCAAACAAAAACGTGAAGAGAATACTTACAGAAAACGGAGGAAATGGAGTATGTTAAATAGCACAGTGCACATTGGAAAGCTTTGGGAAAGTGAGTGCGTCTAGAGCCAGCGTTGGGTTAGAGGCCATGCAGAGTGGTGTGTGGGGGTCCATAATGCTACAAGATCTTGAACAAGTTACTTGCCTTCTCTGTGCCTTGGTTGCTTCAGTTGAAAAACTCAAATAGCATCTGCCTCATAGGCCATAGTGAGGATGACTGTGTTAACACTTACAAAGTGCTAAAAAACTAAGGTCTGTAACAGTAAGCGCTCAAATGTTAGTTTATTTTTCCCTTTTATTCACAAGAATATTAGAATTTCTGATGAAGTATATGGGATTATGAGATCAAATGTAGAGGAGTTTATATAACAAAATAAAGAGCTGTGATATTTCTGAAAGTTTCTTTTTCCCAGATAAAAATTCTGAAAGTTGATGATGAAAATTTCAAGGTAATGGTTTCTCTTTGGGGACTTAGAGGTCAGAATTTTAAGTATTTATGCTACTATAAATGTGTTTTATTGGTACTCAGGGCCTCATGCTTGCTAGGAGGCACTCTGCCACGTAAGGGATGCCCCCAGTAGTTTTTTGCTTTAGCTGCTTTCAGACAGGGTCTCATATTTTCTACCCAGGGCCAGCTTCAGACCATAATTCTTCTACCTGTACCTGGCTTGTTTGTTGAAAAGGGGTCTTGTTAACTTTTCACCTGGGCTGGCCTCAAACCATAATTCTCCTAATCTCTGCCTCCCAAGTAGCTGGATTGAAGGTTTGAGCCACCACACCTGGCCCAAATATATGTTCCTTTTACAAGCATTTTAAAGTAGTATTATTAACCAGTTAAATTTATATAAAGAGACCATTGAATATAGAGTGATTCTTTACTATTCGATCTTTCTTTACCCCCTTAGTTTTCCAAAAACCAGTTCCTCCATTAGAAGAAGCCCTCAAACAAATTCAGGAATCCAACTTAAAATCAGAAGTAAACCTTCCCTTTTCCCACAGATCAACCATAAACTGGAGGTAAGTAATTTATTATTATAATTATTAATATTATTTTACTACTATTAATTAGTATATAATTATACAGCTTTCTGATTTCTATATTGAATGATTCTTCTGTGGAAATTATCACCAACATTATGTTAGTATTTTGATATTGGTTATCATTTAACTTTTCCAAGAGAATAAAATTGGTTTCAATCATAGTGACATAAGTTTAGTTAAAAAGAATAACTTTATGGTAGAAATAAAGTTTCCCTTCCTGAAGATCCTTTCTGGATGGCTCAAAAAGACTACAGTGTCTCCTGTTCCTCTCCAGAATCACGTAAGCACATCTTCTGAAAGCAGTAGGATGGACCAACCAACTGGTTACCCTCTGATATCCTGTATTTTCCATTTATGTATTCTACATATTTATTGATGCACAGAGCTAGATTAAGCTTTGTAGGAGATATGGAGAAGTATATTATTATCAGAATAATTCCTATAATCTAAGAGAAAAGTAAAAGTAAGCTTCTAAAAGTATCAGAGCTATGGGTATAGCTCGTGAATTGCTTGCCTAGTATACAGGAGGAGCAGGGTGTGATCCCAGCACTTCAAAAACAATGTACAGAATAATATGAAATGAGTGATGATAATTCAGACAATAAATTATGTTAATTTTTACCTGTATGTGACATTATTCCATTTTTAGAATTCCTTTGGTCAGTAATTCCCTTGATAAGGGAGCTAAGAACAAGTAAGTTTGTCCTCTCAGTCTTCATTAGATTCAGGAAAGACCTCATGAGATAGAAAACTCCTTAGCAAAGGTTTGAAGAAAATAATAATTTATATGGAGGCCATGGGTGAATGGCATCACAGAATGGTAAGCGTTACAAAATTTAGGACTCAGAGATGGCATGACTACTCCAGGAGGGAGAAGGTAATTGAATCATAGAACATGATAGGTTGGCTAGATAGGAGACTGGAGAGGAAAGTACACCTGTGTTAAGGAATATAAAGTTTATCCTGAGAATTTAAGAGGATTTTAAGCAGATGAGTAAAATCTAATTTTTAACATTTTATTGCAATCCATTGTGGACAGTTATGGAAAGAGGAGGCTATTTCAGAAAATGTAGAAAATACATGGTCTGGAGTTCATGAGAAAGATTTAGGCTAAGGTATTTGAAGCTGAGGCAATGGGTATTATCAGCCTTGAAGCAGATCCTCCTAATTTCAGCCTCCCAAGTAGCTAGGATTATAGGAGTGAACCACTGGTGTCCAGCTTCAAAAGCAAAAAATTTAAATTCCTGCATGCATTGCATAGCTCATTTGAGTCAAAGAAGCTCTCAGTCAGTCCTGTATTATCATCAGTTGTGTTTTAATAATTGTGTGATTTTTCTGAGTGTTTCCCTGCCCTTGATTTTGTGAAAATCTGCCTCTTAAAAAGCAATGATGCCCAAAAAGCAAAGTAAAAGTTGTTGAATTATTAAAGTGACAGTTTGAGATTTGTTGAAAGATAGCCTGTCTTATTGGAAGTTGGATGGAATTACGGGAAAAATGAATCAAGCATACATAGTACAGCACTGAACTCTATGCATCCTGAGTATGTGCAGTCTTTCTGTAGATGTGGTCTCCTTGAAGCCATGTACCTGGAACTAAGGGAGCAATATATATGTGAAGTTATGATTGAGTATATTGGTGCTTAATTTTTATGTATACTTTTGTTTCCCCAACCAGATTGTAGTATTATAGAGAACACTGGCTTAATCTTAGTTCAGTGCATTATTTCAGTATTGAGTAAATAATGGAGAAATACCATGGACATAATTGAATACTTTTTAGAGACCTGACATTTAACAGATGAGGAAGATGTATGTGCTTTGAGAAAGCAGTAGTGTGCAAATGGATTACAAAGGAAGTCATGAGTTTAACCTTGAAGAGACTTGTTGAGGAATATGTACTGAAAATAATTACTGAAAGATTTGAAAGAAGCATGCAACATTTATATTTTGGAAACATTGTCAGAATGGAAAAAATAGGGTAAGACTAAAGGTGGAAAAATCATGTAAACTGGTACTTTAGTTAATAAAAATGATGAATTCTTGGGAGCTTTTTAGGAGGTAACTGGAAGGTGATGGGAAAGAGTCAAGGATGATTCCAGAGACTGGATTTTCTCAGTAAGTACATGGTAAAACCATTTATCAAAATCAGGACTATGAGAATTAGAAGGTAGATCTCATGTTAAATGTTCTTACCACAAGTTAAAAACTCAGTGGCTATGATGGAGAAATAAATAAGTTAAGGAGAGGGAGTAATTAAAGAGAGAATGCTAAGTTGTGAATATGCCAGTTGAAATCTGGCATATTCAGGAGCCAGTTCTCATGATAAGAAATCTGGCCCATGAATATCAGTAAATGAAGTTAAAGCCATGGCTCAATATCTATCAGTGGTGGTCCTAGTTCAAATAAATAATCGAACTCTCCTAAGTACCAGAGGCCATGCTTGGCTTCGATCAGGAAAGGACAGAAAACACTCAACATTCTTCACTAGGAAGAATCCTCATGGCAGGCCACAGAGCAGACAAGGAGCTGGTCTTTACTGTGACCTACCTCCACAGTGACAGCTCCCCTATAAGAAAATGAGATCTCAGTGGGCAAAACAAATCCTAGGGCAACAGACTTAAAAATTAACCCAAACTGGATTGGTCCAGAGAAGAACAGATTTTGTTAACCCTTCACTCTCGCACAGACAATATACAAAAGATATCTATATCTGTCTCTGTGTGTGTTTATATATCACATAAATGTCATATATTTGGAAAACTACAAATATATACAATCTAGGGAGAGAACGCTGTGATTGTTTACTTTAAAAGTTTGACTTCTCTCCACAGATAACTGATAGTATTAAGTAATGTATATGACAGTGCCTTGTAAAAGGAAGGACAGGAAGGTAAAACAGGTCCTATCCAAAGGTGATTATAGTGGGAGTGGGGAAGGGTAAGTACAGGGTGAAAGAGGGTGAATGTGATAGATGTATTTTGTATTCATATATGAAAATAGAACAATGAAATCTGTTGAAATCATTCTAAGAAGGGAGGATAAGGAAGAATGATGGAGAGGGTGAATCTAATTAATATACATTTTAAGCACGTATGTAAATATCACAGTATATCCCCCTGTACAACTATTATATGCTAATAAAAAATTTTTAATTAAAAAAATAGAAAATGCCTTGTAAACAATAAATGCTCTGCAAATATGAGATATTAGAATATTGAGGATTGGGTAGTAGGTTAATGGAAATATTTATATTTATTGCAAACATAATTAAACAACAAATATTAATAAACTATCACATTAAAAAATTAAATATATTTTCACTAGACTATAAACTAAAATGGGTTAAAGAATAAAGAAATGCCAAGAAACAGTTTCCAAAGACGTGTTATCAGTACTTATGACAGATTGTTCTAATATGAACAGCGTCACTAGTAGATAAAAATGGTTTAAGATTTGGTTTCTGAATTCTATCCCCACTACCTCAAAAAAAAGGCAAGATGCTGGTAATGTTAGACAGAAAAAAAATGTATAAAGAAGTGGAGAGCATTTCATACTTAAGTCTCAAGAAAAACAGAGAATGTGTTCTCAGGAACATAGAAACTGCTTCAGGAAAAAATGAGATATAAGAATATTAATAAGGGACTAAAATTAAAAGGACATAATCAGCCTCCTATCGCAGCCAAATCCTATCACAAAGCTAATCTACTTGACCCTTCTAGTAGACGAAGGGGTAAAAGAGGGTATATTCTCTCTCATGTTAAATACTTGATCTAAACAAGTGTTGTTATTAGCTATCTATCTCCAATATCCATGTATTTGTGGTGAGACCATTGATTCCAAGCCACACACTACCCTGAGAAGTCTGGCCAGCACTGAGCAGTTGTCTGTTTGACCTTTATTGCCCTTTGTACCTGTGATCTAGACTAGATTTTCCAAGCCACATTCATGTATCTGTATGACTAACACACCTCTGAAAATACCCTAAGCACAAGGAATAAGTAAAGGGGAACCTGAATAGGCTATGTGCATGACTCAGTGGCAGACAATGTGAAAGGATCCTAGTTAAGCAATGGAAGATCATGCATGGACCCGACAGACAAAAATGACATAAATCAAAAGCCTAGAGGCAACCCAGTACAATTTTTAAAAAGTCATACTAAGGCTCTTCCCACCTGCCTGTCCAAATGCTTTTCCACCTGTGCAGATCCATTACTGCCTGTCCAGCTGTCTCTACACCTGATCCCTACTTATCTGATCAGCTGTTTCCTTCACGGGCCCCACTGTCATCCCACCATTCCCAAGTTCTTCCTAGCTACCCAACTGTTTCTCCCACTCACCAGACCCATACCCTGCCCTCTGTCCCTTCTCTCCCAAAGACATTTTTGCCAGCCCCTCTTCTGTCTCACCCAATCAAGTATCTTCCTCACCCTCCAGCCCAGTTACTTCTAGCTATTCTAACAGCTTCCCCCATCTGCCAGCCCCCATTCCTTCTGATCCACCTGACTATCGACCTTGCCTATCCCGAAGTTCTCCAGTTATTCCTGCTCCTGAGTCACAGAACAAGCTATTTTATAAAACTTTCAGACCCAAGCATGTCCACCCAGCACAGCGTTCTACCCCAGCTGCTCTAATGCCTGCCCTTATCCGTCATTCCCTTCCAGCTCGATTGGTTGTTTCCCCAACCCCTTTGGAAGCTCTCCCTGTTTTGAAGCCTTCCTGTCTATCCAGTCATCCCCCTCATCAACCAGTCCCCACTCTCTCTTATATCAATCCATTCCCCGAACATCCTGCTAGATTGGATCCTTTTCAGTCAGTTCAACAATCTCTTCCACAAGCCACAACATTGTCAAACCAGTCCCAGCCCTTTGGAGACTCTCCTCCTGCCTCTGTTCTCTCCCATCCACCACCTTGTCATTCTCCATCCTCTTCTTTATCTTCACTTTCTACTTCCACATCCTCTCCTTCACCATCTATAGTGTTTTCCTCCTCTTCATCCATCCCCTCTTCTCCCTCACCTTCCTCTTCTACTTCTCCATCCTTACCTCCTTCATCAATCCCTCCTTTGCCCTCTCCTTTGCATTCATCTCCCTCTCCATGTTTGCCTCCAACCTATTTATCTTTTCCTTCTCCAGTCTCTCCCGTTTCCTCTTCCTTTATGTTTTCTTCTTCCTTTCCTCCCATGCTTCACTCTCCCTCTATTTCTACCTCCCCATCTCCTTTTATTCCTATCCATCCCTTCAATCCCCCTCATTGGAGGGAAGAAAGTAGAGAAGAGAAGAGAAGAAAGTGGAGTAGAGAAGAAAGGAATAGAGAAGAAACAGTTGAGAGACGACAACTTTAAAGGTAAATGAATTGAGTTTATTAGACATTTTGTAGATTTAGCTTTGTTTTGTTTGGGAAGGATTATGTCGGAATAGGAAAGTATAAAAGGAAGAGACAGACACATATTCTCAATGTTCAGGAACTCGTATTAAATACCTTCTGGCTCTCTCTGATCTCTCTGTAACAAAGGGATAGTTAGAAATCTAGTTAACATTGGTTTTGACAATTCTGATCTGTCCAAATAAAGATATATATGGGTATTGGAGATAGGTATGTGTCACATGTGGCCATGTGTCACCTTCCAAAACATTTTATCCTCATTGAATTGAGAATAATTGAACCAAATCAGTAATAAATGCCCTTGGGATTCATACCACTGGCCCTACTACAGCAAGCAGACTGCTATGTAATATCCTCAACCCATCCCATCCTCCCTACGAAGTCTCCCTTAGCTCTGCTTTTCACTTTGAATAAATATTGAAATTTAACATGCTATTGGTTTCCAGATGATACAAAATTCTAATAGAAGATGAAGTAATACACTGATAATTTGAGAGTGATATTTGGCACACTAAAAGGTATATCAAAGATACCCTTTCTGTAGCATGAAGACTAAGCTTATATTTCTGATTATATTCCTGAAAAAAACTAAAAACAATGTGTACACTTTTCATTAAGTAAGTGGCAAAACTCCCAAACATAGTTTGGTAGGGAAGAAATTCCTGCCTACCCTGACAAGCAGTTTTCATAGTCTCTATCTGCTTGAATCTTCAACCAAGAGTTGGAGTTACAAGAATTAGTCATGACATTCAACTCAGAACAAAGGATAATGAGCAGTATTATCATACGTATGTGAATCCCCCTAAAGAACTAAGAACAAACTATACATTTACAGGAATTACTTCCATCCCATGCTAAATGATAAAAGAATGAGATTTATAAAGTCCTTTTGGCACTGTAATCTCACAGCCATTTCTGTTCTACTATTGATTACTTCAAATTCCCCTTCTAATATAGCCATACATTTCTCCAATATCCTTATATGTGACGATCTGGACATATGTGCACATATTATATATCTATAGAAACAAGTAATTTTATTTAAATGTACCAAAATTTTTTCTGACTGGTTCACAGAGCTGTAGATTCTGCCTTGCCTTCAGAATCATCAAAAAGTGATCACAAGCATCAGCAACATTTCTTATCCAAAATCAATTGTGATAAAGAAATGAAGGAAAACAACATGACACTACTAACTACCAAGAAAAATGTGTTCCAGCTTAAACTGGAAGAAACTCAGAAACTCCTAGAGGATCAGCACTTAAGCAGTTTGCAAGTATGAACCATAATACGTTTTCACATTTTAATCCCTAGTAATAATTCTCCCCTGCTTTTTTTTTTTTTCGGTGGTGTGTGGGGCGGGGTGGGGGGGACTGGTGTTTGCACTCAGGGCCTCACAGGAGCTCTGTCACCTGGGCCATACCTCCAGCCCTGCCCCACCTGTAAGTGTTCTCCATTGAAGAAATGTCTGTCATTAGCACAGGCCATGAGAGGAACTAAGGAATCAGCACAAATTCATCATAGACACTGGAGAAAACCTTTTTAGCTTTCTCCTTACCTTTTACCCATTTTCCTCCTGCTCCTTCTGTTCTTCTTTTTCCATCTCCTACTTCACCAACTGTGCTTTATGAATGTTATTTTCTGATGACCATGAAAGCTATTTGAAAGTTCAGTGTGGTATGAGTATCATTATCAGAGCTTGTATTACACAAAGCAATCTGAAAATTACAATAGATGTGCATATTTGGTTCTTAATTGAAATGTAGCATAATTAGCTAAAAGTGATGTTCTAGTCTATCCCTAGCAAGGCATTTATTTTTTGCAGAAATGAATGTAGGTGTTTCAGCAGATTTTCCTACTTGTTCCTGTACTTCATTAAAATCCCACAAAGAGAGAGGGGAAAGAAACCATGGCTGAATGAAAATGTTTCAACTTTGATTAAAAAATTATAAATACGTCAATTCAGTAGATGCCACAAGCTCCAAGAAGGGTCCAGGCACACACACTTACAACATTGCACAAGGCACCTCAAAATCAAATGAGGTTGGGTGCACTGTGTAACATAAAACACTACACAAAGCACTTCAGAATCAAATAAGGCTGGGGGAACATTATGTACGTGCAGACAGGCCACTAGAGTGACTAGCAAAGCCTGAGAAGCTGATCAGAATGTTTCATTGTTCTGTGGCGATAACACTTTTTTAAAAGTACAGTTTGTGAAATAAGAAATGGCCAAACATCTTACATCTTTTGTTGTTGTTAGACTAGGGTTTGAACTCAGGATGCACTTGCAAAGCAGACGTTCTACCATTTGAACCACACCTCCAACCATTTTGCTCTGGTTATTTTGGAGATGGGGTCTTGTGAACTATTTGCTGGGCTGACCTGGAACTGCAATCCTCCCAATCTCAGCCTCCCAAAATAGCCACTAGCACCTGGATGTAATACACCTTTTTGAGTTGCTTCAGGAGATAAGACCATCACAGACCTATACAAACAGAAATCTTAAGATGGACATTATACATATATGTGTGTATACATATACATATATATATACATATGTATGTGTATATATAAATATATTTTATATATACTAACTCTAACTCAGATTTCTGTGTCTCACTATATGCAATCTCACAAGGAGCCTGGTTTCCTTATAATTATCAATTAAAATAATTCAATTCCAGTTGAGTTCAAGCCTGTAATCCCAGCTATGCAGGAGGCAGAGAGAATCAAGGTTCAAGGCCAGTCCAGGCAAAAAAGCTCAGGAGACCCCTCTCAACCACTGACTGCGTACAACGTCATCCCAGCTACACGAGGAAGCACAAATAGGAATAGCCCGATCCAGACCAGCCTGACCATAAAGCAAGACCCTATCTCAAAAATAACCAACAGCAAAAAGGCCTGACAGAGTGACTCACATGATAGAGTAACTGCCTAGCAAGCATGAGGCCCTGAGTTCAAACCCCAGTACTGCCAAAAAAAAAAAAGGCATTGAAGTAGTTGTGCTCGTTTGATTGGGGTAAGTGACTGTCACTTTAAGAAGAGTATGGAAAGTCCAGGTGTGGTGGTTTCCACCTGTAATCCCAACTTTTTGGGTGGTGGAGACATGAGAATTAAGGTTCAAGATCAGCTTGGGCAAAAATGTTAGCAAGATCCTACCTCAAAAGCAAGCTGGGCATGATGGTTCATGCCTATAATCTCAGCTACACAGGAGGAAGAGGTAGGAGGATCTCAGTCTGAGGGAAATCTTGGACAAAAATGTGAGTTTCTATCTGAAAAATAAACTGAAGCAAAAAGAGGTATAGTTCAAGTTGTAGGGCACTCATCTACCAAGCATAAAGCCCTTGAGTTCAAACCCTAGTACTGCCAATAAAAACCCCAGAAGAGTGTAGAGGATGTGATAGCAAAGGGTAAATACTAGCAATATATGACTTTTTATCCTGTAATTTATTTCCTTGATTTCTTGATTTACCTTTTGGGCTACAGAAGAATGAATTTTTATCTCATACCAGAATCTTTAAATTTTCTAGGGTTTGTAATAAATATTAAGAGAATATTTTTCTAACTTTGACTTCATTCAACTTCTTGACTAGATTTACAATTTAACCTCTTCTTGGAACCTATTTCTATATGTATGATACATATTAATGCATTCTAGAGATGTGTGAGAATCAGAAATATTTTACCATACTTCTGAGTGATCATGAATTTTTGTTGAAGATTGATAATTTGCATGGAAATTTTAGCAAGATAGTGATGATAATGTCTAGAATTTATGAAAATTAACTGTGCTGAGTCTCAAAAAGAGTCATTGTATAAAATCACTAGTTCTTGACCCTAAATCCATATGATACCAAGAGTTTTAAAATAAAATGTTAGTGCGTGGCTCCCATTCAGTGTTGGATCAGTAGGACTCAGCACGGCCGTTTCTATAAAAGCTCCTTATGTGACTCCAGCAAGCAGCCAGAACTGAAAGCCTTACTCTAGACCACAGATTCATTTTATGAAAAGGAAGCTGACATTAGGGTCATGGAGATTTTAGGAGTCTCGTTCAAGTCCAGTGAATATTTCAGGAAAAGATAGAATTTGTAAATGACTGTTTTTCAGTTTCAGTTGCTATTATGAAACCTTCAAGAAACTCCATACTTTAAATGGAACAGCAATAAGAAAATTATTTCTAAGCTATAATTTTGGCTAAAATAATTGAGTAGTTAGTTTAGGGATTAAAATTAAATCAAACATATTTTATTATGTCTTTGTTACCTCCTTGTGTTTTACTCTGAGAAGTACCAGGGATGTGTATTATTTATAATACACCTATACAGTTTATATTCATATTATTCTGCCTTGTATGCCAAGGAGAATTGAACATAGTAACAATGGTGTGAGTCATTAATCTTGCCATTTAAAAAGTTCTAAAGCATAAACAATATTCTTTTTTCCCCAGAAATTTTGCGATGAAGTTAATCAGATAACCAATTCTGAAACCCTCTCAAGTCTGGACAGTCTTGAGGCTGGAGAGCGTGAAGAGCTATACTTGACACTTAGCCATGAGCCGCCTGTGTCAGTCCAGCAGGACTGTATTTCCGTCAAAGCAGCAAACCTGCAGTCAACTAATGTAAACTACCTTGATGAAAATAAACTGTCGTTCTCAAAAGCTCAGCATATAAACAATTGGCTCATGAATTTAGATGCTCAAAATACTCAGTCTGTCACGTCATTCTCAGATATCTTAAGTAAGCCTAGTGTTCTACCTTCGTGGGAACGGTTTAATAACACAGAACAAAATTCATCTACTCTGAGTAGAACTGTGGAGACAGCCACAGGTACTTCCAGCAATTCTGTCGCCTTTGTGTATAGTTCACCCATAGTTGCACTAGATAAAAAGAAGGAAAAGACTTCTGAAACCAGTACTGTGAGGACGGGTAAGTCCACCTCCGGGGCACTGGAAAGGGAGAAATTCAGCAAAGCCTGGACCACTCCACATCCTCTAACCCAAGACGTGACCACAGTGTCTTACCAAGAGACATCTGAATTAACTCCAGAAAACAGAACTACTTCCATTCCTACTTCATTTGTACCCATGGCAACCTCTTTAGTTTTGCCATCTAACCCACAATCAGCTAGGCCTATAGCAATGAACAATATTCTCTTAAAAGAAATTGACCCAGTTCAGTGTTCTGACAAGTTAGATGAGTTGGAAGATGTTAAAGATGAAAAGATAAGATATTTTAATTGTAATAAAGAAGAGTTGCCCTTATTTTCAGACAGTATTCAAGCTGCCTGTGTACTTCAAAATCCTGATTCAAAAGAAAAAAATGGAAAAATAGCTGAAACATCATCGTCTCACGTAATTTCTAATTATGACTTACTTGACCAGCGCACAAAAATGAAATACAACATTCATGAGCGAAATGGTGTGAGGTTTCTGAAGAGTATTTTAAAGAAAGAATCTAAATATGAACATAGTTATCTACAGGCGCTAATTATAAATCAAGGCTTTAAGTTCAGAAATCAAAAAGCAGCAGCCATCAGAGATAGTATTGAATTAACAAAGGAAAAAGAAAAAGGTGCAGAAACGCCAAAGACTATTAAAAAACTGAGGTGGTTTGATGAAACTGGTGATACAGAACACAGTTCAGTGGAGAACAGAACAGGAAGGACTCAACGGTGGTCTCAACAGTCTCACCTTAAGAACGGTGCTCGTGGCAGCATGGCTAGTGTTCCTGCTTGTGCTGACAGGAAGAATCCCAAGGCTGAGTCCAGCTCTGAAAATGCCACTGATTCAGGAGGGATTGGAACAGCCCCTGTGCCTTTGAACTGCTTTATACCTTCAGGTTATAACTTGACTAAACAAGCCTGGCCAGCCTCCAAGAAAGAAGAAAGCAAAGTCCATGTCCATGACGGTGATTCTAAGAGAGGCGCTCCCCACAGAGGTGGAGCAAAAGTGAGTAGGAGAACAGGCTCTGCAAAAGTGCACCCAGGCTTCCTAGATGTGAACAGACGAGGCCCCATCCAGCCACAGTCTGCAAGCAGAGCCAATGCACTGGCACAAATTCAGGGGAAAGTCATTATACCCCATCCTCTGCCTAAATCAACACCAAATATTAGAAGCAGTAAAAGTATACAAATGTCTCAGTGTCAATTCACAATGCCAGAAAGTTCTCAAAACATCATTACACATAGCTGTTTTAATTCAAAATTCATGCTTCCAACAGAACCCAGTATGAATCTGTGGATGCAGGAAAGTGGTCCTCCATGCTCGGATGCTTGCTCTGACCTGGTCACTGTGATGCCGTCTCCACTGTCTGTCTCTTCTGAGTGCCAAACCTTAGCAAAATCAAATCATTTCAGCAGTGCTCAAATGTTTGCCCCACAAGATGGGATGTTATATTGCACCCAAAGAAGTCCTGTTTATGAAGAAAGTTATCAGTCTGTGCATCTTAGAAATACTAAAGAAGAACTGGTTCCCTCATGGAAAAGAGAGAATAATACACTGTGCCAAAATGCAAGGGCCACAGGTAAGAATAAATTTGTACCTTTTTGTAGGTTTTAAAATGTACCACTTTTTAGTTCATGAGCAATTTTCCTTATTGATATATGGTAATGTACATGGTATAGGTATTAATATGAAATTATAACTTAGCTTTATAAAGATAACTTAGCTATCTTGATATTATAACTTGATCTGTAGCGGAAGCTTTTAATAGAATGATCCAGCCTGTGTCAGCTAAAGAAACTTTCCAGCCCCTATTTTCGCCCACAACTTCTCTAGTTAGTTAAAAAGTGGGTCAAGGAATGGGATTGATTCTTGTCCAATGTTATTCTGTCATTACTATTGTAGGCAAATTTTCTGTCAAGGTGAGAACAGTGAAAAATATTGTTTAAATTATCCCAAATAGGTGAATCAATGTTACTGCATATTTCTGTATTTTTCTTTAAAATTACTAAACTGCTTTAAGTTAACAGTAGATGTACCTAATCCTCCCATCCCTTTCCAAAAGTGTGACAGCTCTGCTTTTACCTCTGTTTTCATGTGGGGAAAAAAATGATACTACTGCCTGAAACTGTTTTGAAATTCTATATGGAAAGCTATTGCCCTTAGTGGCCAGTCTTAGGGACTGGACCAGAGCCCAGAAATGTCCCTGCCAGTAGGAATTGGTCTCCTGTTGAGAAAGAGTTAGGACTGGGGTGTGGAGGGGAGGGAGGCAGAAAAGCAGCTGTCTTCTTTTTCCCAAGGTATAAATGAGGTGTTAATACATATACAGAGGGTGAGTTTAAAATTTAATATCCAAAGTCTTCTTCAAATAGCTCATGAGCTTTGAAAGACAGTTTTTGTAATTCTCACCGTATCCCCAGGTCTTCATGATGCCTGACGCTTAGTACATGCCCAGACTTTTCTTAAATTGTACTGACGCATCAGCAGATGGAAAGTTAAATCAAAGACTGCATAAAAGTCTTAAGTGCTCATCTACAAAAATCTAGACTTAAAAATTTTTTTCTTTCACTAAAAGTTTCTCTTTTTATCAAGTCATTTCACAATGAAACTTTAATTTTGACACTTCCAAAAACTGAAAGTATCATACAAATTATTCTAAAATAAATAATGATAAAGAATAACGGTTTCCTTTTTGAGTTTCTACTCTCTGCCAGTCTTAGGACAAGTACTTTACATTTGTGTCTTATTTACATCTTATAATAACCCTGAGAAGTAAGCATTTTTAAAGCCCCATTTTGCAAAGGACACAGAATTGCCTGAGGCCAAGAGCTCATAAATAGGAGAACTGGCATGTTAATAGAAAACTATGGCTCTGTTATTGGTAAATGGTGTTTTCAGAAGCTCTTGGCCCTTGTGTTCCAAATGGAAGAATCCAAGCAGAACACGGGATGGCGTGAGGTAGAATAGCTTTATTGTGGGAAGGGGAGTCGCCCCTTCTACCAGGTGAGTGACAGCAAGAAGAAAAGGGCCAGGGTCTCTTGGTAGGTCGTTTTCATACCACCTTGAACTTGGAGATGGGGAGGTATTACGTCATCACCTGGCTCCACTCACCTATGAGCTAGGGGGAGGAGCCCTTGAGCCAAGACAGGGAGCAGTCCCAGACTATGCCTAACCTAGCTGCCTCAAACTCCCCCAGGGAACAATATTCAAAACTATTGTGGGGGTGGTCCATCTTCGGTAGCTGCTTTGAGCAGACAAGGGACAGTAGACCCTACCTATCAGGAATATTGCCCCTTTCCTATCATTGTCCCTGGGGACTTGAACAGTGGTGTTTATTGTCTGAATCTTTGTCCAGCCCAGTCAAGATTGCTTATGGGCATCTTGTCTACCTCTGGAAGTCGACAGCCTTGCCGTGTCATGGTTTGGCTTTTAAAGGCTTTTATCCTAGAAGAAATAAATCTGGTTTAGAAGGTATGACCTGAACATCAATAATGATAGGAGCATCAGAAGGGGCCCTGCCAGGTGTGGCAGGAAGGATAAAGTAATTCTGAAAAGTGACAGAGAGTCTTATGGTTACTTTGCCTACAGGTGTTTATATCTATAGCTATTTTAACTCTCAGATGGACCTCAATTTTGGACTGTCATATTAGTGGGCAGTTAAGGGCTGATTACATTAGGGGCCAGGTGTATCAGGGGGCAGGTGTTAGTCCAATGAGAAAGTAAACATTAACGAGTCCGTTCTGTACAGAAAGAGGACTCACAGTGTCCCCTGGCAAAAGTTAGATACTGTTGAAATTTATATTGCTTTTGCTTAAACAGAAGGCCTTGGCCAAAGACATGAGTTTGCTTTTTGCCAGAAGCTTAGAAGGCTTAAATATTAGAGTGCATGCATAAGAGCCCCCTTTTTAAAATCTCTCAGCTTTGGTTACTTTTAGCGGTCTGGCATAACTGGCTCCATCTGGATCTACAGAAGTCACCTCGTTTGTGCCGTCCTTTTAAAATGTTTTGGGTGGCTGAACACCACTTGTTCCTCTAAAAAGTTGGGAAAGACTGACTACTTGGGGGTTGCATCCACTTAACTGTTTCTCTGAACAGTCACCTCTGAATAGTTTGCCAGTTTGGCAGTTCTGACTCTCGGTGCTGGAGTGGCTTCCCCCAGAAAGCCCAGAAAGTCAGATTTTGTCCCACAGAAGCAGGGGAGTAACACATAGAACAGATCAGAAGTCAGTGCAAATGCAAACTTTTTGGTCAAACTGAGTGACAAAGAGACTTATTTTAAAAATGGCTCTTAGGCTGGGCTTAATTAATCCAATTGTCTGTCCCATAGGAGATGTGACAATACCTTTAAATTGTGTAAATTCAGCAAGTAACAGTTACACAGCTTTACAAGGAAAATACAAAACGACCTCAATACTTAAGAATGTCTGTGGGGGGAGAGGGAGAGGGTGGGGGCAGAGGGAACAAATGGCCCAAACAGTGTATGCACATATGAATAAATAAATAAATAAATAAATAATAAAATAAAAAGAACGTCTGTCCTGGTTGATAGAAAGCACTTGTCAGAGTCATTTTTTATGGGCTTGTCTGTAAATGATCTTGAAGGCTCAGAACTATGATGTCAAAGTAACCATGGTTAATTACAGCTTAAACCTCAAATGTTGGTTAGGTAGAGTAACAAGTTAATGGTTGTCAGTACTAAACACCCTAAATTTTCCAATGGTTAGGGAAAGGCAGTGTCAGTAATTTTAAATAGCCCCTGTTTTGGTGCTCAATTGTATATCATAGATATAAAACAATGTTTAGCCAATGTCAAATAAACCAATATTTATTTGATGAGCAGATGTCAGGTAAACCAATGTTTAGCTGACAAACAGATGGCAGGCCTCAATGGCAGAACTTTTAGCATTTGTTATAAAAAGCAGAATATGAAAGACTTTATTAGACAGACTGTACCTTAGATAAAAGAACTATAGCTGTTTACATGTATAGATTTTTAGCCCTGTAAATGATTTTGTAACACTTAGATGCAAGGCAATAGCAGTATTTTTTTAGTGTTATTAGAAAAATACCTTAGAGTTTAGGCAGGATTTAAAGGATAGTAAATAATTTTAAGTGGTCCGTGAAGAGAACTAGTCATCTTATTTTTGGCTGGTAGGATCAAAGCATCTCCCAGCAATTAAGAACAGCCAGGTGAGTAAGTTGGCTTCCCTTTTGCCAGCTGGTGGAAAGAGAGAGAGAGAAGGGAAGGAGGAAAAGCCATTTACCCCTTCACCCCGCACAAGGAATGGAACTCCCTATGCTGGTTGGTGGAGAGTGAGAGAGAGGAAAAGAAAAGGAGGAAAAGTACCCTTTCAGAGAGAAAGAACAAGAGCTTTCAAGATCCCCTACTCGTCCTTCTTATACCTTGAAAGCCTCAGTACAGGTACCTCTGACTGTTTCTGCCAGACATGTCTGGAACAAGCGAGTTGGCAGGGTTCCTTTTCTTACAAGTCACCCATTCTCCTAAGGGCCTGTCTCTTCCATCCCTGCGTGAGGGTTTTAAGATGGGATGCTGATCCTAAATGTTGACCCAACTATTAAAACATCTGAACTATTATGCTCTGGGCAAAGAGGCGATACCAAACAACATGTAAAATGAAAAGATAACAATATGTTGGAAGACAATCTGTTGAGTGTTAAAAGGAAAATATCTTAAGATGAAATGTTGTAACCAGTACAGAATTAATTATGAAATCCAAGGTAAACTTGGCTGGCTGATACAAACCCATCACTGGTGGTCAGTTTTCATATTAGGCCATGTGGTTGTAGTCAGTTTGTAAACTGAGAAAAATGGGGGAACATATTTTTTAATAATAAACCAATTAAGATTAATGTTTTGAATGATTAGATACAGAAACAGAGATAAGGGGGTAAGCATAAAGTTAGGAGACCCAGTGACTTAGAGCAATGGCTTGGATGTTGTTAAGAAATTAATCCTAGACTGCTGATGTTAACTAACAGCATGACTTGGGACCCATAGCAGAGTTGTTGACCTGCACGTAGCCCCTAGAGCCCAAAAATAACAGGCTCAGTCATTGGGAGTTAATGATGTGCATAATTTAGTGTTTTAGGATTACTTAGCTTTTTGTAGACTCCTAAAAACTTAAGGTTCTATTATCTCATCTAGAGGGTGAGCTTTTGTTTGGTTTTGGTAAAATTTTGTATCAGCCTGCACACCAAAAAATCTTGATAGTTATTTTGATAAAATAGAAACCCAATTTTTAAATACACATTAGTACCTTAAAGTTTGACTTTAGAAAACTCTCTAGGCAAACTTTAAAATATAGCCAGCCCAATCACACATACATAATTTTACAAGCTTTAAGACCTGAATTTGTATCTTGAAACAAACTTTGTAAAAACCTGAATTTAGATAGCACTGTTTTTAATAAAACTCTTAGTAACCTTATACCCTAAGTTGAATTGAAACATCTTTGTATAATTGCAACCTACAAGAAAACATGGGTCAATAAACCTTATTATAAAAGATTTAAATGTAAACTACACTCATGACAGAATAAAACAGAAATTATTGTCCATATT